GCCTAAAGAACCCCATGCAGTGACATTTTTAATGTGACTCCTTGCTTAAAGAACCCCATGCAGTGACATTTTTAATGTGACTCCTTGCCTAAAGAACCCCGTGCAATGACATTTTTAATGTGACTCCTTGCCTAAAGAACCCAATGCAGTGGCATTTTCAATGTGATTCCTTGCCTAAAGAACCCAATGCAGTGACATTTTCAATGTGACTCCCTGTCTAAAGAACCCAATGCAGTGGCATTTTCAATGTGACTCCTTGCCTGAAGACCCCAATGCAGTGACATTTTCAATGTGACTCCTTGCCTAATGAACCCCATGCAGTGACATTTTCAATGTGACTCCTTGCCTAAAAAAACCCATGCAGTGACATTTTCAATGTGACTCCTTGCCTAAAGAACCCCATGCAGTGACATTTTTAATGTGACTCCTTGCCTAAAGAACCCAATGCAGTGGCATTTTCAATGTGAGTCCTTGCCTAAAGAACCCAATGCAGTGACATTTTCAATGTGACTCCCTGCCTAAAGAACCCAATGCAGTGGCATTTTCAATGTGACTCCCTGCCTAAAGAACCCAATGCAGTGACATTTTCAATGTGACTCCCTGCCTAAAGAACCCAATGCAGTGACATTTTCAATGTGACTCCTTGCCTGAAGACCCCCATGCAGTGACATATTCAATGCCAAACTGTGCTAAATCCTTCAATTTGCATACAGATTCTCAGAACCATAGTTTAGGCCTTATACACATAAATACTGCTACCTTGACCTTAGATCTTGAACATAAGTATGTTCTTAAGTACACTTGTTTCATCGCATTATTATTATTGACAGGTGAATCACATGGAACAAAATGCCTGGAACCTCTTGATTGTACAACTACAAATCTATAGAATTGAGTGTTTATGTGGACTTATTTATATTGGCGTGACTGGTTATACCCTTTGCTCTAGAATGAATGGTCATTGACATGGAATTAATAATTTTTAAACTCTATCATCATATTTATTCTCAATTCATCTTTCTGGCCATTTTGGAGAATGGAAATTACTGTGCTGTGAACTGCAGTGACAACATATATGTTATTAATCGACTCTCCCAAATGTGTAGTGAAGCTAATATGATGAGATTCCTTAACAACTCGGATAAAACAATACGAAGAAAACGAAGTCAGGTGGGGGGGGGGGGCAAGGGGGTAGCTGGTACAGTTTTACGGGAAATAAAAATGGCTTTTTACAATTTACAAGGAAAAAAAGACGTTTTTACAGTTTACAGTGAAAATTGAATGTTTACAGTTTACAGAGAAAATAAAGGTTATTTTACATTTTACAAAGAAGATTAAGAAAGAAAACCTAAGAAAATGTGTGTACGTACCGAGAAAAATTACATATTTTTACAGTGTACGAAAAAAAAATATTTAATTGATTACGTTGTACGTATAGCCTGTGATTACAGAATTACGAAATTTATTTTTTCAATTTACGTTGTACGAACAAAAAAATATTGCAATTACGTTGAACGAAAATAACCCTGGCCCCGGACAAGTCACGGATATAGGCGGTAAAATCAATCACAGCTAAACAAAGGTTGTGCCAACTCTTCATATTCCAACTTTAATTAGTTGATATACAGGATCCCCTTGTCTTCACCAGTATA